ATTCTCCCACTGTCCAGTGCGAACAGTTCTGCAGGTGCAACTCCCAATCTCTCTTGAATGGTTTCATATATGCAAACATACTCCTGTATTAAGGTGTGTGTTACTTCCAAAATCTGCTCCCCATGGAGTTGCTCAGGAGTTGGAGCAAAGCAGAGCTGCACACCACTTTGCCTTGCTAAAGATGGCTTTTACCCTTTGTGCTCTGTAACAGAGAGAGGGTAAGGAAAGGGGCCCCATACCTTCAGATCCTGCCAACTGCAGCGGCTTGACAAATTTTCCACAATCAATCTGTATTCTGTACGGGTCGGGGGACCATACTTATCTCTTCCGCTTCTTCTATAACCATATCCACCTTTGGGAGGTGACAAGCAGACAGCAGAGCTTCAGCCAGGGAAATGGAGCCTCGCTCTCCGCCCCGACAGAACTGCTCTGCCCCAGGTGCTCCCAAAGATATCACAGACCCACCCTCAAGGCTAAATCCAACCCCCTTTATGTAACACCTTACAAAGACCCAAAGCATTAAAACAGTTTTACTACAAGCTTGTAATTAAACAAGGCACAGAACTATAATTATGCTAGAATTAACATGCAGTTAAATTTAATATTATTTTTTAAATGGTTTGAAAGAAGAAATTGAATAAAACCAGTTGACTAATGTTACTTACACTGCTTAAAAGCTTTCTGAATATCTGACATGAATAAAGCTTTTCAGGCACCTATTTCACGTTAATCCCATCTGTCTCTAACCCTTGGGATCCTCACCACCCAGGCCTAATGGGAAAAGCTTGAGGTCGTCACATGGCTTCTTATTTTTTGGACAGCCAAGGGCCACAAAGGTCAAAGAGCCACTCATGGAAAGGTACCCCAAGGTCAGCAAATGGAACGGGCAGTCATCTTAGCCTCAAAGGACTCTTTCAATTAAAACATTGAGGTCTTTGTTAAATCTATGTTAAACATCACATTGCAAATAAACCATTCAAATAGTTAAACGAAATGATAATAATAAAAATGGTACAAGAAACTGTTTATTAATGCATCAATTAAAAGAGTTTAATACAACAAACAAATTAATAAATATTCAGATCAACAATTACATTTACAGTTACAGAACACTAGTCACATTGTATTGCTTTCCTTTTATATTACTTTTATAAAAGAGTAAAACAATGTTTTATTTAAAATAAGCCACGGATACAAATGCACAAGTGCTTACTGCGTCCAGAACCGTAACTGCTGTCCCGGCGTGGGCCCCGGGCATGCTCCACGATCACTCTCTCCCCACACAGATCTTTCCCATTCAGCTCATAAACAGCATCGTCGGCGTCTCGCAGATCATCAAACTCCACAAAGCCGTACCTAGGGACAGGGAGGGAAAAGGGATCACTGGGAAGGAACTGAACCTGAGGCATCTGTGCTCAAAAGCAATTCATGGGTTCCTGCAGAGCCCTGCGCATGCTGTCCTGCAGATGAGCCTCCTGAGCACACCTGAGGGTTCAAGGCTTTGAGCCTTGGAAAAAACCTAAAAAAATGAAAACCCTTCCAAAAACAGGGAGAGAAATAGGAAGGCATGAAAACACATCTGCTGATTCGCTGAATTTAACCTAACATCATTCTTCATCAACAAAATGATAAAACATGTGAGCGTATAATAGCTGAATCCATTTATGTTAGCAAGAGATTACTATTATGGCATACGCTTTGATGAAATCAAGGGTGTTATCTATCTTGTTAAAAGTAGAAGGTAAAACCCCCCGCTAAAAGTGAGCACTATCCCACACACCCAATAAACACAGAATGACAGAACTGTTCAGATTGGAAAAGCCCTCCAAGATCAGGGAGTCTTAGAGATGGCCTTCGTCATCGCTGGAAGTGTCCAAGGCCAGCCTGGATGGGGCTTGGAGCAACCTGGGACAGTGGAAGGGGTCCCTGCCCATGGCAGGGGGTGGATGGGCTCCAAGGTCCCCTCCCACCAAACCACTTCTCTTTGGAAAGCAAACACTGATTTAGAATGGAGGTAAACGGAAGGATGGAAGTTTGAAGCTTTGACCTGTGTTCCTCAATCCACTGCAGAAGTACGTCCCTCTGTCCTGCAGGTGTTGTGTTAGGATGAAGCCTTGAATTCTTCAGAGCTGCCCAGAGTAATGCAAGCAGGTAAATACAGGAGTAGAACTATTTTGGTTTTTTTCCTGAGAGGCATCATAAGAGTTTTTAGTGTGTTCACAGAAGATAAAAAGCAGGCTGAAAAGTTCAATTTTCTGGTCACTTCATACATTCACTACACGCACAGAGATGTAATTGTCAGTGCAGCTCTAAGCAGGAAAGAGTGTGAAAACTAAGAGCACACAACTAAAAACTGCAATTTGAAATTGAGAATCCTACATGACCCACATTTTCATTTCCCCATCCCTCCCTCAGGTAATAATTGCTTTAAGCCATTGAATTTCAAGCTCAAATTACAAGTAGTGAGCCCCAGCTAAGCTTTTGGAGCAAAGTGTTATCACTTTGCATTCCACTGTCTCGCTCCAGCATTCCAGTTCAGCTGCTGAAACACCCAGTGGAGGATCCACCAAGGAGAACCTCCAGATTTTCAGAAACAACTGCAAGAATCTCTCCAGTCAAACATCATGCAGGAAGTTTGAATTGTTTCTGAAGCAATACCAGAAAAAAGCCAGGGAGGAAGGCTCAGGAGAGCACAGTTCAGCCCAGGGCTTCCCAAGCACAGACACAAAACCTGATGGCTCAAGTTCCATTTTTGACAAAGAATTTAACTTCAAACCTGTCAAAAGACTTCAGAATATAAAACTAGAAAAAACAATTAAATTGACTTAAAAGCAGGAAGACAAGTCCCTTTACCACATCAGCCACATAACTCAACAGCTCCACATCTGTTAAGAAAGTTTAGTTGGCCTCCCTCCCCTCTCGCCTCCAACAGGTATGAAACAGAAATACTGAATTTGGGGCTTATACAGCAACAGGAAAACTGACACACACACACACATTTCCAAGGATACACAGCAGGACTAGAAAACAGCAGCCTCAGATACTTCAGCTAATCTTCAAAAACACTTGAGAATGTGTGGGTTAACACACTGACACTTGTTTGCTTTAATAATGGATTTTATTCATCTTATAAACCTGTTGAAGGTCCACCTGCCAGCACAAGCAGCATTAAAACTTAATTAGCCTCTTTCACTTTAATGCTCAAGGAGTAAGGACTTGTACAAGAAATTCCTCTTCTCCACTTCTGAGGTGTAATTAATACCTGACTCTCTTGGCTATATACTGATAAATCCATATCCCATTCAGCCTTTCTAAGGAAGGCTTCAAGCTGGGTTTCTTGGAAAAAGCAAAGGCACTCATGAAGCTTTGGGTGTTGGGGAAAAACCCACCAAAAAAGGCTATTTGCTTTTACTTTAAAAATCCACACTTGAATGTCTTGGCTAAGCCCTTGTGGAGCAGGATCCAAGCCCTGGAGCTGCAGTGACAGCTCAGTTGCTGGAACAGCACAGGTAAGAACACAGAGGTATGGTGGGTTTGGGGGTGGCAGAACACACCCCTAGGCAGCCTGGGTCTTCTGGGAGCAACTCTGCCCCCCACACCAAAACAATGGGGTTCTTTCTGGGGACCTGTTATCCTGGGGTGCAGTCTGGCTCACTCTTGAGCGCTTGCTCTGGGGTGCAGGGGGGCCTGGGGGGCCCTCAGGGCAGAACGCAGGGCGGGACACAGATGAGCTGGCTCTTAGGAACTAAAGTGAGACTCAGCTGTCCTACCCCCAAGATGTCACAGAAACCTAGGTGTCCTGCCTTCCAAAAAGGAGAAGCCCACCCATCCGAGCCCTCCCCAGAGGAGGAGCCCAGGTGTCCTGCATCCACTCTAAAAAAAAAGGAAACCAACCGTCCAGCCTCCCTCATCCCCACCCAAGGGAGACAAGGGGACCCAAGGGGACACCCTTCGTGTCCCCCCTTGACAAGAAGGGGAACCCAGGCATCCTGCTCCCCACCCCAAAAGGGAACCCGAGCATCCTACTGGGAGAGGGGAGAGCCCAGGCATCTTGCTACCCCCTCCCAAGGAGATCCCAGGCAACCTATCCCCCCCCCACAATGAGGAACCCAGGCGTCCTCCACCCCCAATAAAAGGGGGAACCATCGCATCCTCTTCCCCCTCCAGGAGGGGCCCAGACGTCTTACCCTCTCCCCCACAAACAAAAGGAAAAACAAAGACGTTCCGTCGCCCCCAAAGAAAGGAACCAAGCAGACTGCCCATTCCCAATAAGAGCGCAGCCATCCTCCGCCCGCAGAAAGGGCGGACGCAGCCGCCCGGTCCCCGCTCCGAAGGAAGTTCAAGCATCCTGCCCACTCCCCAAAAGAGAGGACGCCACATGCCGCCTCAATGAAGGAGCAGGCTTCGCGTCTCCCCACCCAGGGGGAGCCCAAGCTTCCTGCCCCTCTCGCCGCACCCACTGCCCAGAGCCCCCGGCGGCCTCTTCCCCCGCGGCCCCTCCAAGGGCCTGAGGCGCCCGGGCCCTCCCCTCGCGGCAGCCCGGCCGAGCCCGCGCTCACCCGTTCTTGAGATCCACCTCGAGAATCTTGCCGTAGCCCTTGAAGAAGCGCTCCACGTCGCGCTCCCGGGCCTGGTAGCTGAGGCGGCCGATGTAGACCCGCGGCATCGCGGGGCCGGCTGCGCCCGCGGGGCCTCAGGGCCCGGGGCCCGCCCGGCCTCACGGCGGCGCGCGGGCAGCTGCGCCGTGACGTCACAGCGGGCCCCGCCCCCGGCGGGCTGGCTCTTAAAGGGGCCGCGCGCCGCGGGGAGGATGGCTCTGTGCCCCCGTCCCAGTGTCTGGTGCGCGGGGCAGTGTGGGACAGGGCCTTGCGGGGTCCCCGCTCCCCACACACGGGGTGTAGCGCGGTCTGACTTCCCATGGCGGTCCCGGTCCCCATGGAGAAGATGGATCTATCCTGAAGCGATATGCGGAATAAATAAATAGACTCCACAACTCGAGGTAGTTATGAAGTGGGTATGTATTGTCGGCGCCCGGCACAAGTGAGATAACTCTCCGAAATCTTGTGCCCCGAGCTGAAGTTTGCCCCCCAACTTTATTCACAAAGGTGTTCCATATGCAATACATTACACAACTTTTCTATGCATATTCAACCCCTGGCCCCGCCTGTCTTCGCTTCTCATGCTAAATAGGTCCACGCCCTTCTGGGCATGCGTAGTTTTTTTGTGGAGGCTTTTATGAAGGTCCCTGGTGGTCTTTGAACTATAACCATCATCTTCCTCCGCATTGAACTTTTGAACTCTTCTCCTCTGCGCTTGCGCTTTTGGTCCTTTGCTCTCCTATCTGGATAAGTTCATCATCCTTGACATGTTGGAGACAGAGGACTTCCTTGTCTGAAGTCTTGGCATTCCTGGTCCTTTCCGGGATTTGTCTTTTTGCAAGAAGCTTTAAAGATCTTTGTTTTTCTTTCCTATGCCTTTTTGTGCAGAGGTTTCTTAAAATTCAACACATGATTCTACAAACATGATATATTCATTTTTGATACATTCATTTTTGATACATTCATTTTGTTAGTTCAAGTGATCTCTGGAAAATCTTTGGTTTCAATTCCACCCTGCCCACGTGCAGGGCACTAGTGAGGGTGCCGAGGTGCTTATTGGATCCTCTCATCGGCAGGGGCCTGAGGATTGCTCCATTCCCAAAATGCTGGATCCTGATGGGACCCCAAAGGCAGGCAGCGATGGGGGTCCCCCTCCCTACACTGGGCGTGCCCAGGCATCCCCCCATGGCATTCGCCAACTGTGGCCAGACTTGGCTTTTCCTCATTCCCTCTGGTGAGCAACAACATCCCTCTTGCTGAACTCTAAATGTCAGTTTGGGGGAATTATTTTTATCATTTCAGTTGAGATGTCAGATGCCCAAATCACACCAAATCCCAGCACAGGCTCTTGGAACTTTCCAGAATTAGCAGCCACCCCCCTCTAAAAAAAAACACAGTCACTTCCAAAACAATTAATATTGTGTAGGCGCAACACCAGCAGCTGGATTTCCAACCATGATCTTGCTCATTTGACAAGGAGAATGAAATTTATTTATTTATTCCTTTGTGCCCTGGTGTAGGAGTGAGAGGTTGGAACATTTTGTGAAAGTTCTCTAATGCATGTTGGGTTTTATTGCTGAGCCCAATAAACAATGGGGGATAAAAGCTCTGCATTAATTTTTCTGGTTTATGCCATGCTTAATAGTGCTCGTAACGATCTCTATGCTTTTTCTGCTTTTTTTCCCCACTTTATCCATCGATCTGGAAGCGCCAAGGCACAGGATGGGGCTCTGCCTCCAATGCTCTCAGGGGGAAGGAAAATGCAAAATATTGGCGGATTTATTAGGGATGGAGGAGCAGAAGGGAGACACTGGCACAGAGTCCAGGGGCACACCTGCTCTCTGCTAAGGGAGGTCTCAGTGTCAGGGTTTTAGAGGGGATGAAATGGCTTTGACACATCCATTTAATTGCCAGCATGGCAGTGGGATGTAATTTCAGAGAGATGCTCTTCCAAGCGCACATGCAGTTGTACAGTGCTCCCTCCAATCCTGAGCAACATTCCTGCCCTGCTCTTCTCCTCACCCCATGGGACTCAGAAAATCCCCCAAATGAAGGTACACCTTCCTGGGCTGTCCCCCACACCCTCTATGTTCAAGGGAATGACAGTGCCAGCTCCCAGTGAGGACCGACCTCCCCACGCCCCCCAGGCCTTTGGTAGATCCAGAGGGGCCCTGCCATAAACCCCACCAACTCATCCAGGACTCCAGGATGAATCCTGGAAGAGCCTTCAGCTGACAAAACTGGTCCCTCACAATTCCTCTATCCATGCACAATTCCACACAATGCCATGGTCCTCCCACTTGGAGCATGTTGGGAACTGGGCACAAGGAGGGAGAACCCCAGTGAAGTCCCTGGGCTGGGTCCTGAAGGTTCTGAGGCAAAGGAAGCTCAAGGAACCCAACACAAGGGAGGTTATTTCCATTGCAAGATGTGTTTGGGGAACATTTCTGCTATAGTTCATCCCATGGAGCAGCATGGAGAGCCTGCTGGGATCTGAGAACATCACCAAGGAACAGGGACACTACAGCAGAAGCAGCCCTGTGGACACCATACACCTGGGTGATTGCAGAGGAATTCCACAGAGGCACTTCTGCATGGTGAAAAAGATACCAAGTGAAAAACCTGAGGTCTGGGGCATTTGGATGCCCAATGCTGTCTTTTTCCCTATCCCTCCCTGGACACTGCTCCCAGGGGCACTGGGACACAGCACTGCCCTGGCAGGACATTCCACATGGAAATACAGCTGGAATCAGCTCTGGGCTTAAACAGCTCTCTGGGAAATCAGAGGTTTAGGGTTATTTTTGCATCTCTCTCCTCCTGCTGCGAGGAGACAGGTGTCACACTGTGATATCACTGTGATGGAACACAGGTTGGAGAACGTCTCAGGCAGCTGGAGCCAGAGGATTCTATCCTGCTGACTGTCAGGACTAAGAAGCTGGTTGGACGCAGCCAAGCTGTGGAAAAATAAGTCTAAATGGAGCTATCTTCACAGGAGACATCCTCTGCTTTTGTCCTGGAGGATCCAGCTTGGTGGGTGGCTTCAGCTTCTCCTGACCATCCTGGAGATGATATGGGACCATCTTGGGATGCTGCACTCTGGGACCCCCTGCAGACAAAAACCCTTGAAGGCTGGCCTGATGAATCCTGGGACCACAACATGAAATTTTTCTCCTTAGAGATCTCTGCTAACACCAAACCTTTGACTGACTCTTTCCTCAAGAAGCTCTGGGAGATCCTGAGCAGCCAGAGTCGAGTCAATCTGGTGGGGCAACAATGGCAACTGCATTGTGATTGGAGAAAAGTTCCTCAAGAAGGAAGTGCTGGACAGGAGGGGGCCACAGAAGATCTTTAAAACTGAGTCCATCAGAAGCTTCCTTCTCCAGCTTGTGTTCCATGGATTCCGCGGAATGGAAAGGGATTCTCCCCTGCTGACCTCCACAGAGGAGCTCAGAGCAGTAGCAGCAGCTGGGTCTGCACTGGGAAAGGTACATCAGCTCCTCTCAACTCAGAGATTCCTTGGGACACTCACAGGGAGCTTCAAGTTCAGCTAAAATGACCCTTAACAAGGCTGGGGACTGGACAGGAACAAACAGCTTTGTTTTGTCTTTGTGTCAGTTACTCTGGACACACTAAGGGCCCTGAAAACTAGTGGGCTTTGTGTTTCTTCAGCAGTTTTCTGGCTTTTGAAAACCCTACACTTTTCTGCTCCCAAATGCTCAAAACATGAGGGTGGATGTGATTTAGCAAAGCTCTGCCCTAACACTTTACTCAGCCAAAGCCTGAGGTGTGAATGCCAGAGTCCTTTTAATACCCATTTGTCCTTTCTTGTGCCAGCTCCTGGCTCTCTCTTGATTTCTTCCTCCTCCTTGCAGCACACAACTTCTTTCCTTTGCCTTTTGCAGCTGCTGTTTCAGGAGGGATGACATGCCCTCTGTCCGGAGGGGTCTGCAGGGTGCTGGGGAAAGCACAAACCTCCTGGCTGTGCCCTTCCCCGGGCACTGAGATCCTGGCAAAGCTCCCAAAGAAAAGGTGGGATGCTCAGCCAGCAGCAGAGCGGAGGAGGAGGATGAGGACACCTGGACACCCAGGAGCAGCAGCTCCACAGGGCCCTCCCCACACAAACGGCCCAGCAGACATGGCCCCGCTGGCACCCCGAGGCAGCTCCTGGCGGTGCTCTGCCCCCCGCCACCCCTCCTACCCCACACGGGCCCCTCACACTTGCACTGCCCACTCTCTGCTCTGGGCAGCCAAATCCGGGGCTCTGCAGGGGCCCGGGGCTGTGCTGCCCCCACCCTCTCCTCCGTGGTTTGGGATGGCCATGCTGGGGCCAGGGCAAGCGGCCGGTCACACTCGGCCCGTGGCCACTGCTCCGCCTGCACCTGCACAGCCAACGCTGCCAGGCCTTGGCAGAGCTGGAGGGGAACAGCAGGAACCATAGGGAGCTTGTGCGGTCGTAAGGAGCGGCACAGGAGGAAGCAAGAACACGTTGTTGGTTGTTCTCAACGATAAATCTTTTCACATTGCTCTGCAGCGTCACAGCCACTGTCCCACAGCCAGGCAGGAGGGCCTTCGGGGACACTGAGGGCCTGGCTCCAGCCCTTGATGGCCAGAGGCTCTGGCCCTTGGAGTGCCCTTGGCAAAACCCAGCAGGGGTGACCCAGGGCTCCTCCAGGAGCTGCAGCAGCACCCAGGGGCACTCCAACCACAGCACCCCCTCATCATTTGGGGCAGTCTGTGCTACTTCCTACTCGGAGCCGGCCTGGAGGCAGCAGGGCTGCAAGGAGAGGACTTGGGCTTCCCTGCCCATCCCACATTCCAGCTGGGATAACTACAGCCCTGCCAGCCCCAAAAGCACATGTGAGGGGGAACTGCTGTTCTTTTCACACCCCGAGCTGAGTGAGCCATCATTCGGGATCCCAAACTCCCTCCAGCCACAGTGAGATGCAGCCTCCCTCCTGCAGCACTTCCACACAAAGCTGCAGAGGCTTTTAAAGCTTTCAGTGGGCATCCAAAATGTGAAAAACAAAGGAAAAAAAGAAATTCAATGGATCTCGAGGATCTTTTCTCCTCTCAAGTCTGTGGACAAGCATGTGAAACAGGACAGGGCTCCAGGTCAGAGGAGGAGGATCTGCTTGGAGGACACGAAGGGCTTCATGGAGGCCTCCAGCGCTGCCCTGTAGTCCTGAAGCGGGACCTCGGTGCAGGCAGGAGCCGTGAGCTGGCCCCTGCGGATGAGCTGGCACAGGGCATCCATCATCACAGCCACGCTCTCCTGGTCTGCACGGGAAGGAGGGAGCTCTCACTGTGCCATGCAGGGCCATCCACCACCCCTGGGAACACCTGCATGAGGCCATACGGGGTCCCTGGGTGTGACGTGCCCAAGCTCAGGCATATGGGATGAGGGAAGAGCCCCCAGCATAGTCCCTGCCTGAGGCCAGCACCAGTGCCTCAGCACCCTGGTGATGCCTTCTGTTTTAGCTTTCATATTTCCCAGATTCTGTACTACATTAGTATATAACTCTGAACTTCATATAAAGTGTTAGCAAGTTCCCTCCACAGTTTAGTCAGACAAAACAATCCTTTTCCAGCCTGAGAACCAGCAGCTTCAGGCCCAAAAAGTGTAAACAACAGTGAATTGAGGAGACCAAACTGGGAGGATGGGACAGTAATCGGACAATTAACCCCAATATGGAAATGAACCAAAACTTACAGAAGTGTGAAAACTTGTGACCCACCATCCATCTTGGGTGTAGCCTCGGCCGAGCTCTTGTACTGCCCAAGGAGTATCCTTTGAAGGCCTTTCAATAAATCCCTGCTTTATTCCTTTGATAATGTCTAGCCTCTGTTCTAGGCAGCCTCTCAAGGTATCACTGGGACAAGCAGAGATGGCTCCACGAGTGGGAGTGAGGATGGTGCTGGGTGGGGTTTGTCGCTGTTCCCATGCCCGGCAGGGGGACAGACCCTCAGCTCAGGTTCCTCAGCCCCCCTGGCTCAGGTTCCTCCATCCCACTGGCTCAGGTCCCTCAGCCCCCCTGGCTCACCCTGCGCGTGGTCCTTCCGCCACTGGGTCATCCAGAACCCGCGGAGCCGCATGTCCCGGAAGATGAAGGCACTCTGTGGAATGTGTGACAGCTCTGTGTCCTCCTGGTACCCAGTGACACGCCTATGTCCCCTTGTGCAAATGAGACCGATGTCCCTTGTGCATGCAGTGACTCCCATGTCCCCTCACACAGGCAGTGACACGCGTGTGTCCCCTCCCAGCGTGACAGTGGTGGAAAGTGGCAGTAAGGCCCCTTGTTAGAGTTCCCATTTGTGAGCCAGGGATGCGGAGAGGCAACTCTGAGGTGTGGAGTCAGGGCAGGTTTGATGCTCAGCACCTGTGGGATCATTTCCCCACTGGAATTTTTGGGCAGCCCAAATGCTCCATATAAAAAGGCAAGAGCCCAGCAGTGGGACGCAGATTGTCCTGTGATGGACCCCATCAGGCAAATAAAAAAGGCTGGAGGGTCTCCGTCTGCAGCTGGGGAGGGCCAGGTGCCCACATTACCAAGGGGATGGGACACACAGTGGAGCACAGAGGACTTAGGAGGGACATCCTCAGTACTCACCACAGGCACCATCACAGGCTGCTTTGCCATGCCCCCGTAGGTGACCATGGTTCCCTTGGGCCTGGAGTAGGAAAGGGGTATCGGGTTAGGTAGTCCCAAAAGTGCAGCTCTGAGTTGCCACCTCCTCCTCTGCTGTCCCCAACCCTCTTGGGGCTGTCCTTGCATCCAGAGCTCCCCAGTTACCCCCAAGATCCCACTTTTTAGGCTCTCCTCTTGTTTCCATGCACCATTAGCTGAATTTGCAGCTCAGCACACCAGTTACACCCGGCCAGGACCTGGGGGACCCCCAACTACCCCCAGCAGCTTGAGACTTCAAATCACTGCTGTTATGCAAAATCACTTTTCCATTCATCTTCCCTCTCCAAAGGTTCAATGGACTCCAGAGCAGGACCCTCTATTGCCAGTTTCTGTCCCCAAGCTTGTGCTCAAGCCACTACCCAGCCAAACTTACTGCAGATGACGCAGCATCTCCGTGGTGCTTTTGCCCCCGACGCAGTTCAGGGCGAGTCGGGGCCTCGGGATGCTCTGCAAGGGTTTACGACAAAGGTTCCCAAATTTTATGGCTTCTTTAGGGGATGAAGAACCAGGGACCATGGTTCTTGATAAAACATCTACATTAACCTCAATATTTACTTGAGGGCTGCTGAGAGCAGTAGAATCAAGGAACAGCTGGGGTTGGAAGGGACTCATTCCAATCCCCTGCCATGTGCAGGAAGAGACCTTCAGCTAGACCAGGCTGCTTCAAGCTCAATCTGATTGGAACAAAGATCTGTGATCCTTCCCTTGTGGCAGCAGCAAAATCCCTCCACTACCAAGGCTAAATCTTGATCTTGAGAGAAATTTGTCCTTCCCACCATCCCTGCATTTCTCCCCAGTGCCAAACAGCAGCAACAGACCTGGACCATCTCTCCAGTGGGATCAGCATTGAGGTACCTTAAATATATCTTTTATCTCTGGCTTTCTCAGCATCTCCTCTGTGATGATGTGGTCAGCACCTAGGGCCATCAGCCTCTCCACCAGTTTCGGGAGATCAGGTCTGGGGAGGGAAAAAGGGGATAAAAAAAGAGGACTAAATGAGCCAGGAAGCAGAGTTTGCCCTTCTCCTTCCTTCTGCTCCAGTGTTGCATGGGGACAACAGGAAGAGGCTGGAGAACATTTGGAAGAGAAAACAGGAGAAAATCCTGGGTTGGATGGGCAGGATGAGCAGATCCAGCTCCCAAACTTGCTCCTCCCGAGAGAACCCACCTGTCCCTCACCACATTGATGGTCTTGATGCCGGAGGCCCTGGCGATCTGGATGACGGCCTGGCCCACACCGCTGTTGGCGGCGTTCTGGATGACAGAGTCACCTGGATGCGAATAAACCCAGATTCCCACTGCAGAGGCAGCCAGGAATCCATGTGGAATTGCTCCATCGTGGCAGGGTCATACCGGGCACCAGGCTCTCAAAGTCAGCCAGCAGACGGAACGCCGTGCAGGGGTTGACGCTCAGAGTGGCAGCACAGAGCACCGGGATGTCACTGGGCACCTTCAGCAGCATCTCCTCAGGGAACACTCCCCGTGTCCGCCACGTTCCTGGGCACAGCAGCACCATGGGCACAGCCACAGCAGGGGGGAAAGCAAAGGAAAACCATCAACTCACACTGCAGCCTTGGCGCTGGCAGCATTTCGTGCTGGGAACCAGCTACACCCTGGAGAGAGAATTATGGAATGTGTTCCCATATGGGTAGAGTCAAAATGCTCCAAGAGGCAAGGAATGGATTCCTCGCTGCCTGCCGAGATTTATCACCCAGCAAAGCCTAATAATTTTCCAGAGGGATAATGGGACTGGGGCTCCCTGGGTATGTGTGCAGAGATAATGGAAATACTCTCCATCCTATGGATGAGCCCATATATTCCAAGCCAATTTAGTCAGCTTTACTCCCTCTACACTTATATCCAATTTAACTCTCTATCATCTATTTACAGTGTTTTTATGCTTAAAAATACCCCATTTGGCTCTTAACTCTATAGTTATCCTTCTCTCATTTAGCAAAAAATCTTTTAAGAGGAAATAGGCAAAGAACAAGCTGCGACACTAAACCACAACCAGCAAATATTGGCATTTTGGAGGAGCATGGGAGACATTTGTTGGGAACTAAATTCCCACACTTTCCCAGCAGAGCATTATTAAAGACAAAACTACAGTAAGAGGCCACCATGACCTTGCCCCTGTGAAATGTTTCATCCCAAGTCTCTGGGGAAGCTCTAAGCTGATGGGACAAAATATGGTTGTTTCCAGAGAAACACAGATTGCTGTAGAGCTTTATAATAGCACAGACATCCCATAAAGGGTCTGTGCTACAGAAAAGAAGATTATTGCTAAATTTAAGTTTGGCATAAGCAATGGCATTGCCACTGCTCTTATTCCAGGTGTTTTAATGTATTTTTTAAAAGCAAACTCAGCTCCTGCTGCCCAGCCCCAGCCAGTGATGTTGCTCATCCTCCACAGACACAGGAAGGCTCTTGAGAAGGATGGGGGTCCCCAGGGGACTCAGTTTGCTTTTAAAAAATACAATAAAAATAAAATTAAAATTAATGAATAAGAAAAACAGGTGGTGAAAATAAACCAAGACATAAACAGGTAAGAAATAACCCCATCAATTATCTCAACTGTCTCATCATGACTGGTCTCACATAGCACTAAATGGGTTCCAACTCCTGCTTCTCTTGCCCAGCATTCCCTAATGGAGTTTTGCTCCCCGTTTTGAATCTCATCTCATCAGGTGTAATTGCTGTAAGTGCAGGGGCTCATGGCTCTACCCACACCCTGCAAAGATGGTGCTTTGGAGAGCTGTGCTTTTGCTCTGGAAATCCCCAAAATCCCCACAGCAGCTCACACAGGAGCCGACCATGGGTTTGCTCTCTGGGCAAGCCTGGGCACCCCCCATGGGCTCCAGCACCCCCAGAATCCCCTGGGAAGATGCTTTGCAGGGGGGGTGAGCAAGGACCCAGCAGTGCTGAGGATGAACTCACCAAGTCCGGCGTTTGCAGGGATGACCCAGTCCCCAGGTTTCAGAGCTGTCACACGGTGCCCAACCTCCAGCACCTCCCCAACACCTTCGTTCCCTCCCACGGCCGGCAGCGGTGAAAGGACAGGGTAGGTCCCTGTAGGGAAGCTTGGAGGTGAGCTGGAGACCCTCTCATACCCCAACATTCCTGCAGCAGGAGCTATCGCTGAAGCCTCCGAGACAGGAGTTGGGTTTGAAGGTGCTCGTGGGTCCCTTCCAACTAGGAGCATCCTACAAGAACGGACGTGCAAAGTATTAATCCATACATTACCCTGGATCATGTTGATGTCGGCAGGATTGATGGGGGCTGCCAACATCTTGACGTGGACATCGCAGTCCCCAAGCTTGGGCACTTCCAGATCCTTCAGTCTGAACAGGGAGAGACAAAAGAAAAAGGCATTAACACCAATTTGCTGGTGTCTTCTGTGCTGAAGCTGAAGCTGGAAGGTGTCTGTATTACCTACACACTCCACCTAAATTAACAGCACCGTATGCCCCATCCCATCAAAAAAACCAGATTTCTGTTAGACAGAAGAACAGATTTTTGGAGGAGGCTGCTAAAAGCCAACTGCCCAAAACAATCCTGTGCCACCAAGCCCAGTGATGCTCACTAAACTTAACAAATTCAGCATAATTTTTTGCATAAAAAAGCTGTGGTTTTGGCTGGGGATTTTATGGCTCATCCTGCCCTGCTAGAGCGTTATGGGAAGCTGGGGTATTTCTGGAAATGAAATCTATGAAAAAGGAGAAGTCACAAAGCAAGACCAGTCTTGCACAAGAAATGGGGTGATAACAGAAAATCTCAGGAAGTAGCGGTGGTGACAAGCACCATTGACAACTAAATGATCATTTGGAAAAGCAACAGTCCTTCACCCAAGAAAACAGGGGGTTGGTGTCTGGACGCACCTGGATAATGTATCAGCATGAATCGAGCTGATTCAAGAGGGGCAGCAAGAGCTCAAAGCCTCCTCCCTTGAATAAAAAAGGCCTAAATTCCACTAAACTACAACTTTCTACTTTCCAGTATTTTTGATGATGACCATCAGCAGTTGTGCCAGAAAACACTTGTGATGCTGCTGTGGTCTCTAAATGGGGATCTCAAAGGGAAGACCCATCAATGAGATGCAACCTAGGGTGAAGTTGGGGCACAGCAATACTGGGGTTTGGACCTCCCTGTCATACCCCAAATTAAGCAAGAATGGGCATTTTCAGAAAAACACCAGGTTTAAGGCAAATTGACGAAGAATGGTGGGGGATTTGGAGGCATCCCCCCCAGCATCCACCTGTGAGACCATGGCACCAGGAAAACATTGGGGTATCCCAGGGTCCTCCTGTCCCCCTGTGTGTTCGGGGGTCCCACAGGGAGCTGCACCCCATCCCCACTCTCTACACCTGGGGTGGGCAAGTCCTGACCCCCGTACACTGCAGCCTCAAAGCAGCCCTGCAGCACCCCAAAGCAGCCTCACCTGCATCCTCACTCCTCTCCGCACCCCTGTCCCAGCCTCACTCCAGATCTCTGCCCAACTGTTCCCTACGCTCCCAGCCTTGGCCCTACACCTGCACCCCGTCCCTGCAATGCCCCCCACATTCACACCCACCCCATTCCTGCAACCCCCTGCAATGCACCCCCGTGTCCCCCCTTACTGCACGACGGCTGCGGCCTCCCCGTGCCGCTCATAGAGCAGCCCGAGCGGAGGGGTCCCCGCCGTGGCAGATCGCGCCCGCACCGGGGGGGTCCGAGCCGGGCCGGAGAGCCCCGGGCCGGAGAGCCCCGGGCCGGAGAGCCCCGGGCCGGAGAGCCCCGGGCCGGAGAGCCCCGGGCCGGAGAGCCCCGGGCCGGAGAGCCCCGGCGGGATCAGCACTTGGGGGCTCCGCGCCCCGCGCAGCGCCCGCGCTGCCGCCCGCTGCATTCGGCTCCGCTCGGCTCCGCTCGGCTCGGCCCGGCGCTGCTCGGCTCCGCTCGGCTCGGCCCGGCGCTCCTCGCTGAGCCCGGCGCTGCTCGGCTCGGCCCGGCGCTGCTCGGCTCCGCTCGGCTCGGCCCGGCGCTGCTCGGCTCGGCCCGGCGCTGCTGGCCGTGACGCTCAGGGCTGGCCCCGCCCCGCCCGGCCTTAAGGCGGCCCGGCCGCGGGGCCGCGGTGGGGCCCGGTTCCCGCTGGTTTGTCCCCAGAATCTCTGGCGGCATTAAGTGTGGCCGTGTCTGCGCAGCCGAGCTCTCTGCGCGACGGGCAGCGGTGATGGGCACAGGAGCATCTCGGCCCACGCTGTCACTGGATCATGGGAGCATTTAGATTGGACAATTCCTCCGGGATCGTCGTTATCAGACACACCCCTGGATCCCTGGCAGTGCCCGAGGCCAGGCTGGACGGGGCTTCCAGCAGCCTGGGACAGTGGAAGGTATCCCTGCCCATGGCAGGGGTGGAATGGGATGAGCTTTAAGGTCTCTTCCCACCCAAACCATTCCATGGTTCTGTGATTTTGCGGAGGAAAGTCCCTTTTCTCTGTTTTGTTAGCCAGTGGCCACCAGCTGTCCTATCCGGGATAGATACTCTCCCAGCACGGAGAGCTGCAGGGAAGTGTTTGTCAGATGATTCTTTAAAACAACAGATGCCTGACACAAGTGGTGAGACAAACATTCCCGATAGTAATTTAATTCAATGTTTTGCATAATTATCTTGAAGGAAAGGTCTCATTTAGTCTTCCAATTAAAACTGACTAGATTGGAAGGGGGAAAGAGAAGCAGAGCCTCCTGCCTTCCCAACAGACCTGTCACAGAGAAAGGATAGATATCCAAGGGAGGAGCTGCTCCGTTCAGCGACACAGATTCCTCCTGGATCCTCACAGATCATCCCAAGGCTGTCCCCATTCCAGTGACCCAGCACAGACAGACACTGCTGGGTACTAAAACAAGGCCAGGTGCTCAGGGCAGGGTCTTTTCTGGCTCAGGTGACCCAGCCCTAAGGCTGCCATGATCCTAAATAGAAGATTTAGTCAAGCTGATTGATAGTTCACATAATTTTTTTAACAAAAAAGGAAAACAACATATTCTTTGGGGTGTGAACTCATATTAATTCAGATTCAAGATGAAGGAAAAGTCAGGTTTGGAAAAAAAACTCTATTCCAAAGTGCTGATGATGAGTTTTCTGCCTTTTCTGGGGTATGATTTGCTTTTGGGGGTCCCTCAGAGGGCTCAGAGGTGTTCCCACCAGAGCCTCTGTGACAGCACTGCGGGGAGAGAGAGAAAGAAAAAGAACTTTTCTCACTGACTTCTTTAGTTTATAAGGAGCCTTGAGGTCACTTGTAAGTGGATGTAAAAGTCTCCCATGTGACAGCACTGCAAGGACAGCAGAGTCAGAGGACAAAACAGCCTTTTCCCACCTGGTTGGTTTGGCATCCTGGACATATCCAGGTCCTGGCAGCACCTCCACCTCCAGGCAGGAAGGGGCCTCCCCAGCTGCCTCCAGCATGGCTGGACATTTCAATAATTTAATCATTTTAATCTAATTACAGCAATAAAATAATGGGATTTTAATAACCTCAAAATCTGTACCTTTCCAAGGATGCCAGGAATGCCTCAGATATTTTGTGTTGGGGGGATGCACGAACAATCGGTGGTGGAGGATGCTGGTAGTGTCCGTGTTCTGCCCCACGTGGCAAAGGGTTAATCACTAATTACAGAAGCAGATGAGAGGCCTCTCCATCCCCTTGCAAATGTGTGCACCCGCAAATCAGGGCTGGCAGACAATTTATGATTATTTTGTTAATGTTTCTCCTGTAACAAGCACAATTTCCTGGTGATTAATGACTACTTCATATCCTGGAATTGCACTTTTTTATAGGAGTGTTGCATGAAAATCCACTTTGCAGTTGACGGTTTAGGAGTGGGTGGGCAGAGGAGGAAGAGGAGATGATTCCTCAGCACCTGGTGGGGAGAAGGAGTGCTGTCCTCTACTCCCCTCTGCTTTAACCCCTGTTATTATTGAGCTCTGATTTATCATAATATCATGATTTATACAGCTATCGATTAATTGGAGTTGTTCACACTTTGGTACGGCTGGAGAGCAAAAGTGCTTATGATAAGTTGGATTTGTTCCTGCAGGCGTGAGGGGATGCAGGATGGGAACGAGCACCTTTGTGACACCAGGGTGGCATTTGCTGTGATTTCGTCCCTAAATCCTGTTGAGGACAGAGATTTTATCTCCTGGTTTAGGAGGAGTCGAGCCCAGCAGGTTCAGCCTGACCCCAGGAGCCTTGTGTGGACTGTGCTGCCTCCAGCTCTCCCAGTGCATAGTTAAGTTGATGTGGAATTATTAATTAACTGCTTTATAAGACTGACACCCCTTTTAATTAAAGGGAATAATAATTTATTGCCTTTTCCCTTTTTGGTGGAGAAATGGAAGGTATGTCTGCTTTGCTTAGGAAAAATAAGAAAGATGAGGCTGGAGAGATTTCTGGGAAGGGTTTCTGAGGGGGAATTTTGATGTTGCACCTCAGTGGCCATCCCAGGGCAGCCAGAGGTGGTCCAAGCCCTGCTGGATCCCCTGGACATCAGGTCAGGAGGCTGGGCTGGGATTTCAGGGCTAGGATGCACCAAAAGGACAAGACTTGTGAAACAAGCTGCAAAATAACTTCACAAGGCAGAGAAAGTGATGCTCAGAATCCCCCATGGGAGAAGTGCTGGAGGGGCTGCCTTGGTCCTTGAGCACTGAGCTCCTGCGTCCCAGACCCTTCTCCCTCTTCCCAGTCACTGCAGCCACCGTCCTGCTCCTGTGTCCATTGCAGGCTCCTGGGCCAGTCCCTCCCCATCTCCTGCATTTTGTAATGCTTAAGAACAGCTCAGCTGGTTATTTTCCCATTTTGAGCCTCATTCCCCCCAAACCCAGCACTGATGGCAGAGCCCCATTGCTCTGATATCAGTCGCTTTTTATTAGACATGCCTGAATCTTTGAATGGAAAACACATTGTCCTTAAAGATCTGCTTTACATAATCCTTGGTTTATCCCTGAATCCCTCCTTTAACATCTCTGATGGAGCTGGACAATCTCATAAACTATTGAATTCTTCACCTCAAAATGTGGGCCTGATGCTCCCAGCTCTACATGGGGATGAGGGTAGTGGGATGGGATGCCCACAGAGGTTTTGCTTTTTTAAGCACACTGATGGCTGTTTCTTGCCTCTCTGATTTTTTATTAATCCCTCTTTATGTTGTTTAATTGTCAGATAATTAAGAAAAACATATAGGAAGAAAAACAACGCTTGGTGGCGAATGGAGAATTGATGAGTTCTGATCCTCTGCCAAGGAGATGAACAAGGAGGATTCAGCTCCAGCCATAAATAAGGAAGGAGAGGGAGATGCTGAGAGGATCCAGCTGTGCTGGGACATTGTCCTTGCTTGCTCCTTGCTTTCCCCATCACGGCTTTTTTCCGTGCTGCCAATATTCGGGTTGTGCAGCAGAGCTGCTCCATCCTGGACTTTCAGGGTGATTGATGCAAAAATCATCTTGTTCAGGCATTTTTCCAGCTTGGGACAGTGCGGGAACTGGTCCCAGGGGTTGGTGTGTGAGAGGTGACTCAGAAGTGAGGTGTGATGTCCACAGGGCATCATCCAGCTGGATGAGGAGGAGCATGGCTGGGGTGGGGAGGAGAGATGCTGCTTTTGGGCCCCATATTGCCACTATGGCACCCAGAGGCATCATCCCATGTGACTTGGCAGGGAAGATCTCTTGGAACAGCTTGAAAAATTGTCCAGGCGAAGAAAGGCACCAAATTGGTGTCTTTTATCCTTTTTAAACTGCATTTTAACTTCTCTTTTTTCCTTCTGTTGTCTGTAGACCTGAAATTTTCCCAGCATTGCTGGAAATTGTATGAACAATTATTTGGGAAATTATGATGGATGTCTGGGTTCTGTCCATTCCTGAGCCAGTTGGTTTTGTTTGTTCCCATGAAATGCCCAATGAACTCTTTTTGTCACAAACTGCCGAGCGCATCCTTTCCCCAACAGGGTTTGGAAAGGCACCAAAGCAGAGCTGCTGATGCTCAGAGGAGGGCAAACGAGAGAGGAGAGCTGATGCTTCTGTACATAAAACTGAACAAAATAAACCCAAACAAGATGTAAAATCAAATTTTAAGTGATAATAAGTAAATGTTGGATGTGATACTGTTCCCTCCTTTCCTTGCAGTTGGATTTATAAAGGAGCTGGTTGCACAGCCAGCTCTGTGCTCAGGCTCCAGCCTGTCAGCACTGAGACATGAATATGAGAAATTTGAGCAATAGCCAAACCTCAGGTCTGAAAATAAATGACATTTGTGATTTTGGATGGGATCAGGGACACAAAATGCCTCAGCTGATTTACATCCCCCCTCAAGAAAACCTCCGTCCTGAGGCAAACCCAAAGAGCAGCACAAAGAGCTTTGGTGTAGAACTGCTTGGATTCAATGCCTTAGTTCTGGCTGGTTTTTAATCAAGGTCATTTTCTTGTGAGGTTTAGGGATGGGCAAATCCACTCAGCTGGAATGGCAGCTGGGCTGGGTGAAGTGCTGAGCAGATGGACAGACGGATGGTGCATGGTACTGTGGTATATTTTGGGGTTAAAAGCAGTCTGTGAAAATTCCAGGAGCATTTATGACGCTCCCAGACAGCTCCAAAACCAAGGAAAGGACTTGGATGGACCCTTGTGCCCCCAGTAATGTGATTTTTAACTGTTTATGTGACAATTCCAGGGTAGGGACCACACAGTAATGCCGAGCTATTCCTGCATTTCAACCCCACACTCAGAGAGGTCTTTCCAGGATTAAAAAAAAAAAAGAGACAAAGATGGCCTGAAGGGAGATAAATAAGCCCACAACAAGGTGACATGGAGGAAACATTTGGGCTTTTCCTGCATGGGTGACCAGGAAGCAGCTGTGGCTGCAGGTGCTGTGGGTGCAGCCCCAGGAGCATCACAGTATGACCAGAGGTGACAGTGGTGATGCCACTGTCCACATGCCTGTCACACTCCAGAGAGGACAGAAATGGGAAGGTTTAGTGCGGTAGCAGAGATGGA